AAAAAGAAAACCAAAATTTTATGAATTTTAAATTTAAAAAATTAAAAATAAATTGCAGGGACCATTTGTGATAGGTGTGTAAACCTCAGGGATGTTTTGTGATATATATATTTGCCACATTAGCAAACTAACGGAGTTTTTGACAGAACCTAACGGTAGGGACCATTTGTGATCACACATACTAACCTTGAGGACCACCAATGACATAAAAAAACATTAAGGATGCAATCTGATAGTTTCGTAAACCTTAGGGACCTTTTGTGATAATAAGCCTATTCCAAGAGTAAGTCTTATAAAGACCTTCGGAACTCTAGTTTTCCAATATGGGACTAATTTCAACTCAAACATATTTGCAATGCCTTGCAAAAACCAACAGTGTCATCTTGCTATAATAATATACACCTCATAACACACTTATGTTTCAGGCTATTGATCCTCTAATATCTTTTTGATTCTTTGGTTTTGCTTTGAGGAGCTCATTTCTTTCCAAATTGGTGGAAGATGATAATTCTGCAACAAGGAAATGTGTTGAAGTCCTGTTTATAATTGCCCATTATTCTGTGTGAGAGAGAGAGAGAGTGCATAAACATAAATCACACCACATGTACAACCAATTTAGTAATGAGAAAGTACAAGAATAGCACAATAATCCTGGTACAAGCTCACAAGCAATTTCTGAAAACTTACCAACAAAAAAATCAACACTCATCAAATTACAATCTAAATTATAAGTAAGGGTGTCATAATCCTATTAAAAGACTAGGTATCAAAGGATCTTCCAAGGACACTCAAAGGGAAAGCTCAAAATCAGCCATCAAGAGGTAAAACACCAAAGAAAAAGGGAGAAGAACACACAATTGACAAACTAAAGCTTCATATTCAATACAAATTTCCGATCGATCGGAAACTTGTTAGAGCAATTGAAAGAGAAGAATAAGAATCAAAGCAAAGGTTACTTGCAACCTGGTTTTAGTGAAGAGAAAGGGCTGTTGGGGCCTTGCTATCAATATTGGTGCACCACTTCTCTCAGTTGGGCGTGGCTTATGAGCAATATTTGCACCCCCATAAACTCCCCCTTTCCCTTTCTGCATCTTCCTTGCCTCATCCATTTCATGTTTTTCTCCACACAGCTTGACCGCACCGTCCACACCTGTATGCCTCACTACTATAAAATGTTCATTCAGCGCAACAACAAATGAATCATTTGCAAATATAAAGGAATTCTTACCATGAAAGTCTCGTCCTTGTCCAATAGGCCTTGAGAGGTTAGCACCTTTTTGATCATATTCTAACTTGAAGAAGCCTTTGAGAGCCAAGCTTGATAGGACATGAGAGCATGAGATGAACAAAAACCATGCAAGTAATTTCATTCCCTTCATTTTTCGTATTGGGAGAGGAAGTAGGGAGCTAGGGTTGATTTGGTTTGATCGGATAGGGACAAACTGTTAAAAGATTTAGGCCTTAGGGATGGTAGTTTCTAGCATTTGAGAGAATCTTAAAAGAGTGGCACAAGCACCATTGCAGCTGTAAAAGGAACTCAGAAAATGGTAGCGTCAAAGAGGAGCAATTATATAGGCACATTCCCAAACCATGACATTTTGCTGTGGAGTGGAGGTATATTTTGACACAATAGTTGTGTTTGACAAGCTTAGCACATGACATGATTTTTATTTTTATTTTTATTTTGCCGAAGTTGGGAAGGGCAGGGGGAAAACTCACACACACGGGTATTATGGGGACTTGAATCCAAGACCACTTGGGAGCACACCAAAGGCTTGGGCCAATCCTCCTTTCAAGTTTATGAGCACGGGAAGTGTACAAACTGATTCAAATATCTATTTATATTGGTCCTAATATTTTTGAGCAACCAAGGGAGTAGTTGTGTCTATTTGGGTTTTGCCTTATTTTGGAATTGTAGCATGCATATTACTTTTCTTTGCTTAGTGATGCAGTTGGTATTGGTTTTTTATTTCCAGCGATTAGGGGCTATTAGTCCTGTTTAGTTCTATTAGTGTTGTCTTCCTTCATTTGATTTTCTAGTTTTGATTCAAACAGCTTACAAAACCTACACAGATTTGATGTCGTTATGATGATGAGGGCAATTTGGAAAGTTTATTGGGGAATTGTAGGGAGAATTAAGGCTTCCTTGGTTGGACCTGATTTAGTTTTGCCTATGCAGAGGCTGCTGGTTGTTTCCATTGTTTGGTCTTCTCTTGGGGCCGTGCTCTTAAAATAAAAACTCATGTTATAAAGACGACGAATACACATCACTCTTTTGTTATCTGAGAGATGAGGTATTGGAATTTGAAATTTCTTTCCTGGTCTAAAACATTCGATTAAGAGAACTCACCGAGTGTGAAATTGGAGCTATTTGAGAGATGAGTTATTCAATTTTTAAGCGACTCTATTTATGTAGATTTTGAGGCCACAAGTGTTTTGGTTCAAATCGAGTGTTAATTGGACTTAAAATGAATCTTTGTAAAAATTGACCTAACATTTTAAGTAAAAATATTATTGAAAGTCAATTTAGTCACAAGAGTTAGTTATATTGTTTGTCAATGACTAAAAAGGGTGGTTGGAGTTGGAGGTTGACGGCGGCAATCACCGGATTGAGACGGTAGTTGCTCACAATCGTCGGAGTTGGCCAACCGGAGAACATTCCTTATGGTGTTTGGCCGGAGGCTGGCCTCAAATAGTAGCCAGGGAGAAGTGAGGTGCTAGAATTTGTTGGTTTATACATGCATGGTTGACAATGAGTGCAAACTTAGAGGGGTAAAATGTAATTTGTCCTTTTTGTTTTTTCCAGATAATTTCTTCTTTAAAAAAAGAAAAAGGCATAATGTCACTTTTGGTCTCAATGGTTTATCGCTTTTATCACTAAGGTTCCTGTGGTTTCAATTTGAATCAATTCAAGGATAATTCTCAATTTCTGTCAGAAATTTTCAACTTAATGCTATTTATTGAGGGGCAATTCAGTCTATAAATTATTAAAAATGAATTCCTTTTAAAAATAAATAATATAAATATAAATAATAAAAAATTAGTTTCAAAATAAAATAAAACATCTATATCCCTTTTTCCTCCTAACCTCCATCAACAGTCCCACCCAACCTCAGCCAGTTATCACCTCCTCATAACCCAACTTAAATTAGTTTAAAAATAAATTAAAATAAAACATATCTTATCGTATGCTATTGGCACAAAGGTGTTGGGAAAGTATCAGAGTGACACCTCTATGAGTCTATGACCATGAGAGAGTTGTGTTTGACTCTTTATTTTAGAAAGAATTTTAAGGCCCATTTACAATTAATCATCACTGTCTGCAAGTGCAAATGGGAAATTGAACAAACTCTTTATGCTGAGGAAAAATAAAGAATAAAGAATAATTACGCTTGCTCTTCATCATTAACTGCCTGCAAGTATACTGTATAGGGAGGTGGTGGCGGGTCGGGGTGGGGTGGGGATTGTTGGTGGGGGTTGGAGTTGGGAGGTTAAGGGTGAGAGATGTTTTATTTTCATTTAAAAATTATTTTTTAAAATTTATATTTGTATAGTTTATTTTAAAAGGAATTAACTTTTTAATAATTTGTGGACTAAATTGCCACTCCACAAATAACAAAAGTTTTTAAAAATTGACTGAAATTGAGAATTGTCCTTGAATTATTTCAAATTGAAACCACAGAGGTGAAAATGACCAAATTGAAACCACAGAGGTGAAAATGACCAAATTGAAACCACATGAATCTTAGTAGTAAATGACTAAATTGAAACCACAGGGATCTTAGTAGTAAACCTGATAAACCATAGGGACCATAAGTAAAGTTTTGCCAAAGGAAAACTTAGCAATGCTCACCACCACTAACCTAAACTAACGACGTCGTCTTGAGCTGGCAAGCGTTCTTCTTCAGCTCGCGTTCGTTCTGGTTCTGGTTCTGGTTCTGGTTCAGTTCAGGTCGCTAAAGCTCTTCTTCTCCCCATATTAGCTGAAGGCTGAAAGCTCAGGTAATATTTTTTTTTGTTTCTCTCCTCTCTTTGCTTCTCTCACTTTATTCTCTATTCCCTTCTATCAATTCAGTTAGGATTTTCTTGAGTTCGAATTTTGTGGGTTTTCAATCTGAGTTTGTGGCATTCGATCTGAGTTTTTTGGCCATGATTTTCTAATTTTTCTTACCTAATTGATTCATTTGAACCTTACATGCAGGGGATACCATTTCCAAGGGAAGCCAACAAACCAGTCCCTTCCTAGATCTCCAATCAAATCCTACAATTAAAAAGTATGGATTCCGATACACCTGATTCCCAAACCGTAACCACCGAAACACCTGATACCCAAACCGTAACCACCGAAACACCTGATTCCCAAACCATAACCACCGACACACCTGATCCCCAAACCGTAACCACCGACACACCTGATCCCCAAACCGTAACGACTGACCTGGAAACCCTAACCCTCTCCACCGATCCATTGACGGACCAGTTCGGCTCCCTCAACGACGTGGCCCATGAGCTCGCCTCCCTCCAGGACCTTGCCACGCGCGGCTCATGGCGCTCCATCCTCGACAAGGTGGCCCGGGCTCGAGCCCAATCTCTCCTCCACAAACCCCATGACCACCTCGTTTATTTCACCTACAATGTGCTTGCTTTGACTAAACTACGCAGGTTCCCCGAAGCCGCTGCCGAGATCGATTCCTTAGAGGACCTCGACAGCTCTCGCTACCAGTACGAGTCGTATCCAAAAGTGTACCCAAACCGGGTTGGGTCCATGGTACCCTTCTCCCTCCGGTGGCTTTATGCCTTAATGCCCATCAAGTTGGGCCAGCGACAAGATGGTCTGGACCGGCTCTACTGCTTGTTAGATTTTGTACGGAGCAAAATAAAAGAAAAACAAAATAATGGGAGTGTCTCTGTGTGGAAGAGAAGGGAGGTGTTTGTAATGAATGGTATAATTGGGGTCCATTTGAGCAACAAGGAGGTATCTGTGTGCTTGAGCTTGATCAATGACTTGCTTAACCATGATTACACGGATCCAGTTTTGGTGTCGAAACTAGGGTACATTCAGATGCAAATGGGAGACTTAGAAGGAGCTAAGAGCTCCTTCAACGTGGTCCAAGGATTGGTGGAGAATGAGGGTGATGCGAGCAACGAGTTTAAGAACATAGTAAGTAGGAACAAGGCCTTGGTGTACATGGTGGGGAAGGACTATGTGTCCGCAGTGAGGGAGTATGAGGAGTGCATTGAGAGGGAGCATAACGACATCGTGGCCATCAACAATAAGGCACTTTGCTTGATGTACTTGCGGGACCTGTCAGATTCGATCAAAGTGTTGGAGAATGCCCTGGAAAGAGTGCCTACGGTGGCATTGAATGAGACCGTTGTGGTGAATTTGTGTAGTATGTACGAGTTGGCTTACGTTAATCATTCTGATATTAAGAGGACACTGAATAGCTGGATTGCCAGGGTTGCTCCTGATGATTTTGATTCATCATCTACAAGGATTTGATTATATAGGTAGTTTCACACCTTTCTCATTTGGGCTTATGGATTCTAGTGTGTCACACATTGTTGAATGAGTTTGGAGTTTTTAGGATGAGATTGAGTTTTTGATAAGTGTAACTTGATTTGAAAAGAATTGTCCACTTCTTTAGATGTTTTATGAGTTTGGAAATAGTGATGATCAATTATATTTTATTGAGTACAGAGACATGCTGGCATTGCATTTTCTAATTTCTCCTCTTCATTATAAGATTCCCAAATTAACTATATGACAATACGTTCCTTTTAAAAAATCAGACTTTGATAGTTGTTCAGTTTGGTTTTTATTTCATATCTTGATGTGTATTGAGTGTAATTTGATTGAAAGCGTATTGAGTGTGATTATGACTTCACTGTATAAGTTGTTAGATATGGAACAAATAAATCTTTTGTTATTCTTTTGGACTTCATTATGGGTTCGTAATTGTGCTCATCGTTGAAGCACTCTGTTATAGATTTGAACTACAGTCTATTATCAATTTTTGAGGTACGTGGTTTGTGATGCAACTCCCCAAACTCTGCTGAAATCTCAAATGCGGGCAGACACGGTTTCCTAGCTGTGAGGCCTTGGGAAGGGTTAAACTGCTGAAAAACTCTTTTATCATGCAACTGCAGGGCACCAAAACTGTTAGGAGGAGATCCTATGGACATGGTAATGGAGCCTTGACATTTATGTGAAATTACTGTTGCTCATCTTTGGGCTAGGCAGATGCTTGTTGCTTCGAACCAAATCCAGAATACCATGCGAGCTCTGTAACATTGTTCCCAAAATTCATCCTCCACCTGCAGATTTCGTTATACTAGTTGGACTGCAGAACTAAATGTTTGATTTGATAAATTGACTGAAGAATTGTCAGTTTCTTTATTCATTTGAAATGATTCAAATTTCTGCCCTAATTTTTGTTGACTTCTGTAGACATAATTAACAGCAACTGAGGGGCCCATTGTATCTATTCTGGTTTTGCCTAATTCTAGAATTGTAGCATGCAGATTGGTTTCTTGGCTTAATGTTGCAGTTGGTCCATTATTTTTCCGTTGGTGTCTTGCGTAGATCCTAGTTTTGCCAGTTTGTTGCAGCCTCGCTCTGCCTGATGGTTGTTCCCTTTTCAGGTTAAACCTATTTGTTATGTTTCTAGAAGCACATAGATGATTGGCTCCAGCTTGGTCTTGCTCCAGAAATTGATTTGTCTATCTGGTGCTTGCTATTGATTGATTTTGGCTTTGTATTTGAATTTTTTACCATGTGTTCTTGTGGTTAGGTCTTAAATCTTTTATTCCTTAACCCAATTTTGCAAACAATTCTTGTCAGAAGATTATACAGTTGTTTGGAGCTTAAAACTTGATTTGATTGATAGAAGTTACAAGTGAGAAGAATTAGAATGAATTCTTTTTGAAACAGAATCACTGAGATTTGAACGATATTTGTAGATGAAGAACAGAATAAAGTTTTTTTATTTAATTACGCAAAAAGCTGAAATATACATCACATCCTCACATGGTTCCTACGTCTACCTATTATTCAAGCATTTCACTCAAGAGAAAACAGTAGAACAAGAGCAGAGTTCAAAAGCAGAACATCCAAAAAGAAACCTATTCTAGCTTAGTCAACCTCTTCAATCTTAGGCCCAGCTCCTGCTCCACCAGAGCTAGCGTTGCCAAATCCGCCACCGGGCATCTGAGCACCGCCCATTGGCACATCTCCACCAGCACCTTGATACATTTTAGCAATAATTGGGTTGCACAAGCCCTCCAGTTCCTTTTGTTTGTCCTCAAATTCTTCAACTTCAGCCAACTGGTTCCTGTCAAGCCATTCAATCGCCTCATCAATGGCCTTCTCAATTTTCTGCTTGTCTGCAGGGTCCAGTTTTCCAGCAATCTTCTCATCCTTCACAGTGTTCCTCATGTTGTATGCGTAGTTCTCAAGCGAGTTCTTGGCATCCACCTTCTTCTTCACCTCCTCATCTTCAGCCTTGTACCGCTCTGCCTCCTGCACCAATCTCTCAATCTCCTCCTTGCTCAGCCTTCCCTTGTCATTGGTGATAGTGATCTTGTTCTTCACTCCAGCAGTCTTGTCTTCAGCAGACACATTCAAGATACCATTTGCATCAATGTCAAAGCACACATTGATTTGAGGAACACCTCTTGGGGCCGGAGGAATGCCTGTGAGTTCGAATTTTCCAAGAAGATTGTTGTCCTTGGTTTGAGCCCTCTCTCCTTCATACACCTGAATTAATACTCCCGGCTGGTTGTCAGAGTAAGTAGAGAAGATCTGCTCCTTCTTGGTAGGGATAGTGGTGTTCCTCGGAATCAAGACAGTCATGACACCACCAGCAGTCTCAAGACCAAGGCTGAGAGGCGTAACATCAAGAAGCAGCAAGTCTTGAACCTTCTGATTCCCTTCACCAGTCAAAATTGCAGCTTGAACAGCAGCGCCATAAGCAACAGCCTCATCAGGGTTTATGCTCTTGCACAGTTCCTTGCCATTGAAGAAATCTTGCAAAAGCTGCTGAACTTTAGGAATCCTCGTCGACCCACCAACCAGAACAACTTCATCCACCCGACTCTTATCGATTTTTGAATCCCTTAAACACTTCTCCACAGGTTCCATACACTTCCTAAACAAGTCCATGTTCATCTCTTCAAATCTTGCTCTTGTAATTGTGGAATAGAAATCAATACCTTCGTAAAGCGAATCGATCTCAATTGTGGTCTGTGCGGTTGAAGACAGAGTCCTTTTCGCCCTCTCACACGCAGTCCTCAACCTCCTCAAAGCTCTGGCATTGCCACTAATATCCTTCTTGTGCTTTCTCTTGAACTCTTGCACAAAGTGATTAACAAGCCTATTGTCAAAATCCTCACCACCAAGATGAGTGTCCCCAGCAGTGGCCTTCACTTCAAAGATCCCTTCCTCAATTGTGAGCAAAGAAACATCAAAAGTACCACCACCAAGATCAAAAATAAGAACATTCTTCTCACCAGCCGTCGACCCTTTCTTGTCAAGACCATAAGCAATGGCAGCAGCAGTTGGCTCGTTGATAATTCTCATCACATTCAGGCCAGCAATGACGCCCGCGTCCTTCGTAGCTTGCCTCTGTGAGTCATTGAAGTAAGCAGGCACAGTGACCACAGCGTTATTGACTGAATGACCCAAATATGCCTCAGCAATTTCCCTCATCTTGGTCAGCACCATGGACGATATCTCTTCGGCTGCAAACTGCTTCTCTTCGCCTTTGTATTGAACGACAATCATGGGTTTGTCGCCTGGGCCGGGAACGACCTTGAAAGGCCAGTGCTTCATGTCGCTCTGGACAGATGGGTCGGAGAATCGCCGGCCGATGAGCCTCTTGGCGTCGAAAACGGTGTTTTGGGGGTTCATGGCAACCTGGTTTTTGGCTGCATCGCCGATCAAACGCTCCGTATCAGTGAAAGCAACATAGGAAGGGGTGGTTCTGTTGCCTTGGTCATTGGCTATGATCTCAACGCGGTCGTTTTGCCACACCCCTACGCAGCTGTAGGTGGTGCCGAGGTCGATGCCAATGGCCTTGCCTTCAGTCTTTGAAGCCATATAACAAATTCAGCAAGAAACTAGTTGATTATTTGATTGAGAAAGTAGTAACGAAGAAGCAAAAGAAATTGGAGCTTAAGAGCTAGTTGTTTGCTTTGGGTATGGTGTTTTGGTAATTTAAATCTGGATGCTTGAAATGCTTTTGGTTTTTTCACGATATGGTGGTGGAGATTGGAGGGTTTGAATTTATATGCGTGGGTAGGGTTCATGGAAATCTTCATTGGAGAGGAAGAGGAGGTGGTGGAAGGGTCGCGAAGGAAGAAACGAGGCCACACCAGAGAGTTCTGGAGAGTGGTGGAGCTGGTTTGTTAGCTTTTTGAAAAAAAATTAAAAATTAAAAAAATTTCTCTTGGGTTAGTTGGGCTGATATATGTTTTTCTTTTTCCAAAGTTAAGTTTAGCCAAAAATAACCCGTAACAAGGTTCAAACTCTTATGGCACGTTGAGGCAGGGTAATTTGTTCTTTTTGGAAGGAAAAAAAGTTCCTTTTGGGCCTTTTTATTTTATTGGACAAGTACCATATTTATTTACCAATTTTAGGGGGTTTTTCTAAAATTTAATTTATGTATATATATAAGAAAAGTTGAGAAATAATTGTGGTTGCATGATTTTTCTTTTGATATAAGCGATATTGTTGACGGCAAATTTGAACATAGAACTTCGAGTGCATATGTGATTCCTCTTAACCACTTGAGCTATTAAAAAAAATCTTTCATTTGTGATTGCATATTTTTTATGACATTTCCTATTCAGAGGGGCGATAATATAATAAACTCACACACACAACACGGATGCTAGGACTCAAACCCAGGACCTTTTTTGAGAGAACAATTACTCCAAACCACTATACTTGTGGGTCATTTACTTCATGGTTGCATGTTTTAAGTGCAGCATAAGTGTGCGCTAATTTTCTTTAACTTTTCTCTATAATTACATTGCCAAAATGTGAATTAAGTTTGAATTTATACGACGCTAACCACTCATTTGGTCCCACTCCAAGATATCATCTCATAATCAAGATCATTTCTTTCTTTAGGACAACGTTAAAGAATCACTCTTGCGAAAAATTAGCCAAATTAAACAACATTTAATCATATAAATGTGTTCAAATAAACAAGTGAATTTTCATATTTCTTACAAACAATTAAAATAGTCACAATAATAGTCAAATAGTACGATTTTTTTTCTTTGGCTAATTTTTGCAAAGATGTTCCTTGAATGAGGACATAAACATGAATGATTCTGTTCATGAGATGTCATTGTAAAGTGGGCCCAAACGAGTAGTTAGAGCCGTGTTAAATTACTAACTGGGAGAAATTATTGTATAATACTAGAATATAGTCACATGGTATAATATGGATAGACAACATGATTGATATTTCCAACTTATAAGTATTATATCAATAAATATCCATTTATATTATAGCACATGGACAAGCTATTTCACTTGACTGTACTTAATTACGAAACTATAATTACTCGCTAATCCATTAGCATTTGACTCCTATTTTTCCTCAGTAATAAAATAGTTATATCCATCCAGCCCAAATTCAAATTGTTGAAATTGGTTTGATTCTCCTATAAAATTCTTGTTTGACTAGTCTCATCACTGGCCTTCTACCTGCCCTTGTGGTTGACTGCGTCTGCACTAACTGCTGGTGGTCTTGGGTTCGAAGGTTGGTACTTCAACATTGTTGTTTACAAACCCCAAACTAGCAACAACAATGTTTCATTCTATAGTGAGGGCCTTATATAAAATGAGGTATTCTAAAATACCTTTGTTTTTATGCATGTTTGCTCGTCAGTATTTTTTTTTCTTTTTGAGAGAAAGAAGTATTTTTATTTCGTAGTACATTTTAATTTACAATTTGCTCATACATGTTAACGTTTTAAATGCATATAAACTCCACAATAAAGTACACTTGCGTTAAAATCTCTTTGGAGCACTGGTGTTGCAAGGAGTCTTCTTAATTCTCTATATTTCAATTCTGAATGAGCTGGGCTTGCTCGTCATATTTTTCTCACTGTTTTACTGGATTTAATTTTCCAGATTTATTGTATGTAATAACCTTTTGTTTGGGGTGTGTTCTTACTATAAATCCCCTGTATTTGCCCATGTTCTAAAGAAATTCTGCTTTTTCTAAAAAAAAAAAATAAAAAAAAATTAAAAAAAAAGCAGAAGTACAGTTGCATGAATGCATGCCCCCCCGGCTGTACTAAGCAAACTTGACGGGCTTACCCAAAGAAAGAAGCAACCAGAGACTTCTGGAGAAATTGATACAAGCAGATTCCTCTGTTTTTGGGTTTGTCCAGAGGACTGTGGATGCTTCCTGACATGGTGTCCAATTCAATACCAATTTTCCAAATTAGATATGGGATTTGAAGGTGAGTGGACTTGGGCTAATAAAAAACGTTTGGGGGTAATTGGCTTTCAATAATGCTGCTGATCTATTTGCACCCAAACGTTGTATTTGGACACCCAAGCTCAATAATGTTCCTCAAGGACAAGTTCATCACTTGCCGATAGTGGACTTATATATGCTAATTGAAACAAGAAAATAAAAGGTACCTATTTATTGGTAGAGAGGTGTTCAAGTGCTAATCGGTCAGTGAATTTATGCAACGTTATGCACCCTCTTGAATCCACTGCAAGATATAATCTCATAATATGAATCATTCATTTTTTAGGCCAACATTCAAGGATATTTCTTATTAAAAATTATCCAAATTAACATACATGGGCTTAGCCAAGTTGGCTAAAACGAATGCGCTTCCCAATCTGCATCCGAGTTCGAATCTCCCTCCCCATAATTTAGATTAGATTAAAATAGAATATCGCTATATAATTAGCCAAATTAAATAACATTTAATCATCTAAAATGTGTTCAAATAAACAAGCAAACATGTTATTTCCTACAAACAATTAAAATATTCACGATGACCTAATCGAGTTCGAATCTCCCTCCCCGTAATTTAGATTAGATTAAAATAGAATATCGCTATATAATTAGCCAAATTAAATAACATTTAATCATCTAAAATGTGTTCAAATAAACAAGCAAACATATTATTTCCTACAAACAATTAAAATATTCACGATGACCTAATATGTTCCTTGAATGATGACATAAAACATGAATGATTCTGATAGTGAGATGTCCTTGTAAAGTGGGCCCAAAAGAATAGTTAGTGCCATATTAAATTACTAACTATAAGAAATTATTGTATAATACTGGAATATGATCGTATGGTTTAATATGTCTACGTGTTATAATATAGATGGACAACATGATTGATATTTCCCACTTATAAAGTATTATTAATAAATATCGATTTATATTATAACACGTGAACAAGCTATACCATGTGCTTGATTACCAAACTATAATTAATCACTAACCAATTAGCATTTGAGCCCTATGTTTTCTTGATAATACAATAATTATATTATGTGGCCTAAATCAAATGGTTGAAATGTGTTGGATTCCC